GGCTGTTTCAAGCTGTTCAAACGGAAGTGCCATTTTGACGAACTGAAATCCTGTTTTAATGCTAAGTCTTTCGCTGCCGTCTCATTTGCAGCTCCTGTGCTCCGCGCAGGTACCTTTCATAAAACAGTTTGAAAGCCCTCGCAAATCATATTATACCATATTTTTAGCCTAACTGATTGATTAGTTTAAAGCTGATTGAATAACTCTTTGTCTGATTGCTACTTTGTCTATTACTCATATCAAAAATCGATAAATTAGTGTCATGCATGAACAGTTTTTAGCTCCTAGCAGTGAAAAACAGCTAAAAGCACAGGTTTATTAAAAACAATGTAAATTATTAGTTTTTATTAGATGATTGACTACTGGCTGCATTTCAGACCGCATCTCAAAGAACAGTGGTTAGCATTTTTTATTGTGTATCGTTGTATCTTCGTGAGTTCTCAGGATTTGAGTCTTAAGACAGGTTTTCAGTTTATGCTTCACTTTCCAGAGTTTCTTAGACGCTGGCATGATGTGATGCACCAAATCCGCATAGCGCTCGTATTCACTGTGATGGACGGCATCTTCGTAGGACCGGGTGTTTAATGTTTTTATATTGCCTTTCATTAAACCAAGGAAGAAGCGGTCAGCGAGCAAAGGTGGAAGAACCAACCACCAATCACCTCAATCGGGAGATGGCTCGTATGAAACAAGCCATTACACTGATAATGGTTTAACCTGGCAAACTACTAATTTACGCTATGTATAATAAGTGCGTGTTTCGACCTCGCTTCAGCAAAATTACTTCGGCTAGCTCACGAAGGTTTTTCTTGAAAATGCAATATCACAGTATTCCAGAAATTGTCAGAGCTTCTTGAAGTCACAACTGTCGACACGGACATCCGATATCTGCAAAACACTGACGGAGTAGCGGCTGAAATGAACATAGTTAAAGATGGTTAGAAAACTTAGAAAATATTTTCATTAGGTGCAGCTTTCAAAGCATACAACGGTGTTCTATTTTCAGTATATTATTAATTTGTGCTCAAGAAAGCATTCCTTTGTGGTTCCTGAAAGCTTTGTTTAATAAGTATACTACTGAGGCTTCTAACGGTGCCTCTCTTTGCCCATTTGTCACTACGAGACTGTTTTTGCCTTTCCAAACCGAGCTTGCTGGATCGATGCATTTTTAAAGTACCTGAATTCATGGCCATAAATCTGTTGAAAAGGTTGAAAAGCTGCAAAATAATGATACTCGATTATTGAACGTCTGCCTCGACCACAATCAATTTAGGTGAGGCTGCGGCAAAACAAACTGTCAGCGGAAACGAGACGAGCTTCCTCGCTGTTCTGTATGAGTTAGCTTCAATGTCCGTTCTCGTCATTGTGTTCATCGATGAGTCAGTGAAGAGATTTTCCTCATGAATGGTCCTCTGTGAGCGAACAAATCGACAACCACCTACAGAAAAAACAGCTTGGACGATCTGTCGCTCAGCGGTTTCCAAGTGCAAAGCCTACCTTTCCAACGTGCCGATATTAGGCATCAGATACTCTTCTTCCTTAAACCTTTTCTTTAAAAGAAAAACCGGTAGGCGTGCAAGATATGGCTCAGGCGTTTGAGATGTCAACAGTACAAAAGTCATTCGATTCGATCGTTTCTTGTTTTAGCCATGCTCGCTGCAGGTCATCGTCTGACTTTTCCATTCCTTAGCGGGTGATTGATTAATTGATCCGGTGGTTTTCCGGTGGTCACTGACAGCGTTGAGACCAGGCAGTTCAACGAGAGATTACGACCTGATGCTGGACGCTATTCCTCTGTCCCATCATCACTCATTGGAACCATAAAATTAAACAGACTGTCACAGTTTTATGCCCAGGAAAATTATCTGTAAAAAACATTCACGTCCAAGTCGGAAAGAAAGAAAAGTTTGTAGCCATTGGTCATCTTTGCGCCTACATGATTTAGACCATCCGTTGCGTCTTTGAGTTCATGAAGCTTATGACGCGGCACTGAGCTCTGTATCCGTGCCATCAGCCAGGTGAACCTTCTGTTCCAAGTCAGAATCTAAAGCTTTGTGTCAAGCATAGGGTCAATTTCCTGTATTCTTGTCATAGAGTAGCGCTATATCTCATCCACGTAGATCGTTAGATCATTTATTGGCACCAGAGTTTACGTAACGCTGAATGTCCCAGAGCAGTGATGCCAGCATATTTACAGAATTCAAAGATTTTTCATTATCGTAACAAAAAATAGAACAATAATAAAATCTACTGACAGAACAATAATACACATATCAAATATTTCTATTATAGAGCGTAGCAAAATTTAATACCATATAGATTATTGCCCCCTGCCTAATCTTCCAATGTGATCAGTCTGTGTAACTGCTGATTTTGGGCTGAACTAGGGCAGATCATGTACCGTCCTTAGCCGTGTACGTCAATCTAAAACGCGACAGTAAAATTTCAAAAAATTGTTCTGTGACTAAAATGATTGGTTACATGTAGTCGGGCTCTTTAATAAACAGCAAAGCAAAAGGTGCACAGAAGCGGGTAGCATATATTTTAGATACAGGTGGCCATGTTTCACTCAGGAGGTGGAGATTGTACATGTCTTATGTTTGAAGAAAGGCTTCGCTTGTCGTAAGAAGTTTTCAGCTGCTCATGACTTCATGGTGGGAATCAATACTACATTACAAATAATGATTCCGGATTTAAACGGCGAAGGTGTACGGTGTAAAATTTTTTTTGCTTCACGTCGATACTATGGTAGTTTAAAACAAATGGAAATCTGACATCAGGTTTCACCGCAATATTGCGCCCCCTTGCTTCTAGTTACCCAGCGAGACTATTTAGGTAAGCCACGGTCCAGAGATGTTGAAGTGCTTCCAGTGCATATAACGCAAGACCGCCTCGTCTCTGAAGTGGGTTGAACCAATGTGTACTCGAGCACAAACAAGATTGCCAATATCCATAGGCTGATGCATAAAAAATGAAATATCATATGATCCTGATGTTCAGGGTAGCTTCTACGAATGGGACCTGTCGATAGCGCTATTACATGCATGACATTACAAATAATTATACCGGAGATAGTAAGGAAAAATTAATGCCAATAAGTAAGTTATTAGCTCCTGATTCCATAGGTATCAGTGCACAAACTGCGAAACTTGTTTCACAACTTGGCTCGAGAGTTTTAGCGTAAGTCGGCTGCTGCATTTATGACGGATGTTTTCACTTGCTTGGGGTTTTGCTACTGTTGTCGTTAGTTACCAATATTTGAGGTATTTTGTCAGCCAGCCGTGATATAACTCTGCTTATTTCGACCTCGATTTCCCCTCCCCGTCTACGATGACCCACAAGGCCTAACGCAACGAATTGCATGATGCGGCGAGCTACAGTGGAGTTTGTAATCATGAATTTATATGGCAACAATGAACCTTTGAGGAGCCCCGAAATAGACGTCTAACGAAGCTCTGTAAACCTTGCCAGACGAACTTTTCATGTCTTGAAGACAGTCATCAACGACGATAGTTTTGTATTGCAAAATGCTTAAAGTTTTACTCTGTAGAAATGCGCTAACGCAGCCTTTACAAACTTATGAAGTTCTTCAGACACAGGTCATGTAAAGTCTATGGAAATCAGTTCGATCAGCCGATGTTCAGTAGTGCAATAAGTTGCGGCACTCGTAACATCTTCCTCACTTCTCTCTCGTGCGAACTTTCCATTGCCACACGGCATGTAGCCCAGTTATGGAATCGTTCCATATTGCAAAATGCATTAAAGCAGTTTATTAATACACAGTGCAAACGAATAAGTTGATCAGTCGGGTGATTGACGAGTACCGATGTTTCGATTCCTATTTCACGAGGCTTTTTCAGGGTTGTCCGGATTGGTTTCTGCAGTTAGTTGTGTTGTCCGCCACAGTTATGGCGTCTCGAGTCGAAAGACCACCAACAGCTGCAGGAACCAACTCGAACTACCCTGAAGAAGGCTGTGAGAGGCAGAACCAAAACGTCCACACTGGTCAGTTCCACGACTGACTAACTTACTCGTTTGAGTTGTATAAATAAACCGCTTTTATACATTTTTCAATATGAACGATTTTGTAACTAGAGATCGAATAAATACGTGCTCGCTGTTTGGTCCATTCTTTGCCATGCCAGTTTTAACGAGAACTTATCGTCTTGTTGGAGTTCATCTTCCTGACGGCTGCCCA